ACTTTTCCTCAAACCTCCACGCAAACTGGTGAGTTAAATCTTTGTATTTCAACTTTAAGCAAAAATAGTTGCATGTTACATTACGCAAATGTGCACGCTAATTCAATCTACAGTGAACCCTCGTTTACCGCGGGGGTTACGTCCCAAAAACAACCCGCAATAAGTGAAATCCGCAAAGTAGTGAAAAGTATTTATTATAAATGTTTTAAGGCTGTAACCCTCACAGCCTTAACCCCTGCTCATGCGTAATGGTTCTAGCACCTTCCTCGTCCATCCAAACCGCGGCCTCTCGTAAAGTTTACTTTATTAACATGTGCGCCGCTGCAGCGCCATACAGAGCTGAGCAGCGTCTCGTCCTCGGCCCTCGCTGCTCCATGCGGTACATCGTACTGAACTCTGCAAACGGGACTCGTGTTTCAGAAAAACTCGTGTTTTTTCCTCTCTCTGGACTTAACACTTTACTGAGGTTTGGATGTGACAAATGGCACTTCATTTGACAAACTGAAAGCATTCTGTGCCGTACAGTAGTGATGGGTCGTTCGCAAACGAAATGGATCTTAGAGCCGGCTCTTTGACGTGAACGACGCGAGGCGGCTCCTTATCGCTAGCCGTCACGTGGGTTTTTTTTCTTTTCTTTCTCTCACCCTCACTCGCACTTTTTTCCGCTTTACGCTGGGCAGAGGGGGGAGGGGCGGTAGTTACACTCAGTAGCACAGGAACAGAGCCAGAGGGAGAGAGAGAGAAAGAGAGCCAGGGACAACAACATCACATTAGAAAGGTATAGTAATCATCCACAACTATTTTCAGTTGCAGATGATAAAGGATTCAGAAAGTTTATTCATGCAGGTCCATATGACAGAGAATGTGCATCTTCTTTTTGTTTTCATATTTTAATTTATATTTAATTGTGTTGTGGTTTGCAGTGTTTTGTGTTGTTTCACTTTAAATTTGTAAAAGGAAAAAGCTGAAAATTTAAATAGTTAAAAGTTGAAATGTGAATAGTTGATTTTTGTATTATATGATTTATTTATTACATTTTATGTGGAGTGAATAAATAAAAGTATATTTACGGTGGCCCCTAGAGACAAAGCACATACAAACTTCAAATCACGTACGAACTCTGAAGCATGTACAAACTCCAAAACACGTAAAAACACGTACAAACTCCAAAACACGTAAAAACTCCAAAACACGTAAAAACTCCGAAGCACGTAAAAACTCAGAAGCACATAAAAACTCAAAACACGTACAAAAGACAACAGAAGTGCTCCAGGATGCTGGGCGCAGTGTTGAGCTTTTGTTATCTTGTGGCTACACAAGCCAGCAAGTACCAACGACCGGATTTGGTGTGTGATAGTAACAGGTAGATGAACTTTTTTTTTAAATTATTTGAATATATATGAGTGCCTGTGTATAAATACACAAACAATACACACATGCTTTCAATTGTGTAATTTAAGTGATCTAGTAGCTCTGCTTTGGAAGTTCAGTTCATGCTAGAAATGTGTTTTGGAGTTTGTACGTGTTTTGTCTCTAGGGGCCACCGCATATATTTATATATAAACATATATAAATAAAACCACTTTTTTTACGTTAGTAATTCCTTTTGTGCATAATTTTATATTATTGTGAATAAGAAATTAATTAAAGCAACAAAACAACCTGAAGAGCCGGATCGGAGCCGAAAGAGCCGGCTCTTTTAGTGATCCGAGCCGAAAGAGCTGGATCTCTAAAAAGAGCCGGAAATCCCATCACTACCGTACAGGAGTCACGGTCCTCAGCCAATCAGAACGCAGCACAGAACGCAGAACACGTCGTGCTTCATAAACTGTAAAATAATGCATTCAAAATTGCACAAAATAGAATATTTGCCATAAAGGTAAGTTTACACAGAAAAGGTTGCTGTTGTGGTGGGTGGGGGATACAGTTGCTCAAAGTAATATGAATGAATTTAAAATGTTCTAAACACTTGTAGAAACCAGTATTGTATGTTTATTTTTATTTTGTTTTTATCCTCAGGAAAGAAACAACATAAACCAGGAAAAAAGGTTGGAATCAGGAATACCTACCATAAAGGTGAATGATAGTACACAGAAAGAAACTTCACTTGACATTATTTAAAAAGTAGGGGTTTCCACAGGCAATGCAAGTTAATTATAGAGCATACAGTAATCCCTACACAATATGAATCAAAGTGCTGTATGTATTAACAGATTGATAATGATGAGGATTTACTGGTCATGAATTTAGAATGCAGAGACTTCTAAATCTAATACAGTTTGTTTGGCCTAAATTGCAATCAATATTTTATTAAACCTTTGGACACTCAGACACCTTCAACTTATAAAATAAACAGCCACCACTTGTCGTTACAGAACAACCTAAATGTACACTTGCTGTCTTATAAATACAGCTTTTTAATCAGTAATCATTGTTGTACGTTTTCCAGATTTTAAAGATTATGCAAACATGATGTGGAAATGCAAGTATTGCAATTTCATCTGTGAGAAGAGAGGACAGCTCTTGAAACATTTAAGGCTAAAACATGGGACATACACAAGAACTGAGCCTTTTCCTTGCTTACATCAAGAATGTTTATGTACGTTCAAGTCTTTGAATGCACTTAAAATACATCTATCCAGATTTCACTCTAAAATCACAGATCAGCAACCAACAAACCCTAATGTAAATTTCTGCTGCATGGCATGTGACTTCATTGTATCTTGCTCTGAAAGAGAATATTTGGGTCATCTACGAAGTACACATTTAAAAGTAAATCACAATGTTCAATGCCCATTTAAATACTGTGACTTTCAAACTAGTGTGTATGCCACATTCAACTCGCACAAAAGTAAAATGCACAAAGAGCAATCTTGGAAGGATTTCAAGCCTGAAATAATTGTACGTGATGAAGTGGCAAATGAAAGTGAAAATGAAGAAGAGCAAATGCAAACATCTGAACCCGAAGACCTAGAAACCTTGTCAGAAGCCTCTGATGATGATGTAGATGATTTAAGAAAACAACTTGAGCACAATGTAGCATCTCTGTTATTGAAAATGCAAACTATTTTGCATATCCCAGAAAGTGCTACCCAAGAAGTGATTGAGTACCTTTGCCAAATACATGACATGTCACAGCCACTTTATTTCAGTAATGTCAAGTCTGTGCTGATAAAATTTTATCCAAATGTGGATGATTCACTTGTAAAAGAAATTGTTGGTGCTGTTTCTGAGAGCAATGTTGTGACATCATTGTGTGGAAAACATGGAAAGATGAGCACCCAGAAAAGACGAGCTGCCTATGTGCGAAATGAGTTTCCCTTGGTAATGCCAGTAGAATATCGTGTAGCAAAAGGCACAAAAACAGTTGTGTACGTGCCCATACAAAGTATGTTGACAAAACTGTTAAACAAAAGTGAAATTTTGGATAAAGCAATGGCAGAGAACCTGCATGCTCCACTGGTTCACTCTTCTACTCTGGTCCACTCCAGTTGTACATTCTCATTTCGCTCTCTGTAGAACATGTCTCACCCCATAAGCTGACCAGCAACAGCTTTTTCGATTGCACTGCAAAGCCATTTAGACCTTTGTCCCCAGTCCCACCCAGTCCTTTTTTTTCAGTTTTCTGAGTCATTAAAGGAATTGTGACAAATTGAAGGGCTTAAATGAAACTTAAAAGTTTTACAGTTTTTAAAGTTGGCATTAAGTTGTAATTTCTTGATCTTTTATCCACAAATTCATAAAAATGGACCAAAGCACATTTAACTCCAACACATAGAACAATTTGGGAGAAGCGCTGCGTGGGTACTAATGTACAACATGTGCAGAAATGTAGAACAGGTTTTCTTTGGAATGGGGTTCTTTGTAGATTCAGGAACTATTACACAAGCTAGTCTGTAGGGTAAATATAAAAAAGATTGTAAAGGTACCCACAGACAACAACAAAAACCAAGGCACTCTGTCTGTTATGAAAAAGTTACAAGCCTTTATTTTAACATGGCCTTCAATTAAAAAAATTACCCAATGCGTTTCAGCCAAGGTGGCTTTTATCAGAGTGCAGAAACAAAATGTTTTGTTATCTGTGGGTACCTTTACAATTTTACATTTACCAAATGGACTAGCCTGTGTAATATTTAATCACATTTAACTGCATGTTTTGATGACATTTTCAGCACTATTTTTTACTTTGTTTTGCACAATGATTTTGCCCAATTTGTGTAATATCCAGATTTAGCTCTATTCCTCTGCTTAATCTAATGTTTCAACATTTTTAGAAATGATAAATGCATACATTTAATTTCAGACAAAAAAAAACAACTAAATTTTGCATAAAATGTAAACTGTGTCCAAACATTCTGGATTAAAATATTGTGTGACCTATTCCTTACTGTATGTGTAATTTTGGGCCAAAAGCAAAGCAAACACTTCAAAGCTGATCTTAAAGTAATTTAAGTTGCAATTTCTATCCCTCCATGTCCAAATCACTACTATATGAGGTGGTCTCCCTGCTCAACCCTCTACACTCAGTATAGAGGTACTGTACATGGTACTAAAATGAAGGAAGGCTCATTTTCAAAAAGCCTGATGCCTTCGGCAATCACATTTCTTAACAGCAGATCCCAATGTACTCTGTCTACAGTATGATTGTTGTTGTTTTGTCTGTTTCTTTATTATTTGTGCGCTGTGTACATGAAAAATTATTTCATTTTGGGAACAATAATATCTATAGTCTGTGGACAGCTTTATGACCCATCAACATTTTAAAAACCATGTGAAAGACTCTGTCTACATTGTATGTTTTACAGAATTTGTAAAACTGTTAAAAGGTCTCTCTTGCAAATGTGACTCAGAGTCTCAAGAGACATACCTGTGTAAATCAACAATAAAAATAATAAAATAAATAAATCTAGACCCATTTGTGTATGTTTTTGGAATATGGTAAACTAATAAACCAGTATATCAAAAGAAAAGGTAAAATTACAATATTCCTATATACTTACTTTTTGACTCGTAAAGAACTTGGAGGCATTGTCCCCAAGAATAATTGGAAGTCCCCTCAAGGCGTAACATCTGTTGACAGTGGGCTCCATGCTCTGCAACATGTTAAAACAGACACATTTACCACTCTAACTCATGAGATGAGACATGCTGTACAATTAAAAGAATAAAATATGATGCCAACTCACCTGCTTTTGCTTCCGAAGGTCTGCCAGTTCTTGGCCCACACGTCCTGTCTTTCTCGTGAAGACCTCTTCTAAGCCAGGATACAGACCATCCAGAGCAGAAAAGAATACTCCTATGACACTTTTTCCAGTAATTCTGTTGAATTCCAAGTTGACCTATAAAACAAGCCCAGTTATTATTTTCAAAAATACAACTACATGAAAAACATAAAATATAATCACAAACCTGGCTTTCAGTAAAAAGCGCTGGCCACCGCTGAACCATCTGGCTGATGTCAGGCTTATCCTTCACTACTTCTGCTCTTCTTAAGGCAAAAGTGATGTTCATAGCATGTTTTATGATGGAAACATCCGGAGATTTTTTCTTCATTTCATCAACCATGGCTTCTCGGGCAGTTTCAAGACTAGCGCTATCCATTCCCTCTGGGAAGTCTGGGAGGTAGTTTACTTCTCCTTTTCGTGGTTTCTTTATGTTTTTGTGTGGAGGTTCACCATCAGAATTGCATTTTCCACGTTTGCCTGCATTTACAGTTACATCTGGGTGTCCCAGCTTGCGCATATCATTTCTGTAGTTGCCCATTTTAAATTTAAGGCTGTTCTTCCAACCTTGATAGCCAGATGATGAGCCTCGTTCTTTGAGGCATGGATGTTCCGCTACTAAGGCCTTTGCTACATCATCAATGTCCTTGTCTTCTGGGTAGGCTTTATAACTATAAATAGCCTCGGCCAGCCTGTCAAGGATGCAATGCTTCAGGTCTTTTGAGATTTTGAGGTAGGTTGCATCACGGAGGTATGTAAGATTTCCTTGGCGAAGTTGGTATTCTACACTAACGGAAAACTTTGGAATGATGAACGGGTCAGGCCACTCTTTGCGCACCTCCACCGATGATGATGAGACAGACAAGATCTCTGTATCTGCCTGGCTGCTTGTCTCACTAAAGCTGTCCAATACTGGCACTGGTGTAAGCATTATGATTGGGATGATACGAATTGTTGGCTTCTCTGGAACTTCGGACATATCTCTCAGATTAACAGGAGCATTGTCAAATTCAGGCTCGTCATATTGCAAAGTAAACTCGTAATTTGCTTGAATGGTTGTCTTGATCCAGTTGATTAAATCATCGACTGTATTAGGACGTGGATTTACCGTTAGTTTTCGAATGTTCCCTTTATTCACAATAAGTCTCATGGTCATCTTGGTTTCTGCCATCTAGGGAACAAAACAGCATGTTATAGCAAATTTATCTGACTCCAGTAAATAAATAAAGCTGGACATGTCTTGATTTAGATGGCCAAGGCTATATGATTAATTAATTTTCTTATCCAGTGCCAAATAAAAAGCAAAATTCAAACATTCGCCCTCCTCTGGATAATGTAAGAAGAGGACGTATGTATGAATTTGGCTTTAGTGACTGACTAACCACAACTGGGTAGCCAGTTTGGATGAATATTATAACATCAGCCATCTAAATCACTTCATGTTCAGCTATATCATTTTTTCAGATTTTGTGTATTTATCCACTACGATTTTTGAGTATTCTTGTTTGATTTGTTTTAACAAAGTACAAATCGCTTGAGAGTAACCATAAGCTTCCCTTGTATTTTGTAAGCACATAGCGGGAAAACGTCAGTCAAATCAGACCACTTTGTCACACAAAATGAACCCAAGGAGTGACATAACTCGTAGGACCGAATGTGCTCCTCATACCATGCGGTCATTTTTCTGCAGACAAACATGATTTCAGTGTTTGAAGCAATGATATGTGTGATCTGACCAAAAGCAGGCAGACCTGAACAGGAACCAATGCAGAGGATCATATCTACATTATATTTGATTCCATCGATGCAGACTGATGATGCAACAAGTACTGATCCAGGAGCAGATATACTTTGAGGGAGAGCTCTCTGAACATCAATGGAGTAAGATGAGACCAAAACCTTAGAAACTTTTGTCAGCTCAACTGGTGGCCTGAAAAATGAATTGCAGTCCAAATAATAACTAATTGCTTTCTGATGTTTCATTGCAAGCGTCAATGCCACATTTTTGAAGTTCTGTGCTTCCCTTATAGCTCTTTTGAAAAATTTATGTTTCCCCTCAAAGCGTATAGTCCAAACATCAGTTAATGGACCAAATTTTCTTATCAGCTGAGGGTAGTGTTCTACGTAATGGTGCTTTGGCCGCAATCTAAAGCTAGGGAATGTTGCTTGCAGCAGTTCTCTGTGTTCCTGCAGTTTGCTGTCAAGAAAACACAGCGTTTCCTCCGTGTGTTTAGGCATTACCACTAGCTCCACAATGTCCTTGAGTAGCATGAGAATGTCCCACGCTCTGACTCCTTTTGGAACACGGTGGCCTATGAGAAACGGTAATAGTCTGATTAAAGACCAGTTTTCATGGCCATTACCACCGATGGTCCCTTTGGCTGAAAATCCTTTACTGATTGTTTGTGGCTGATCAGTCTTGTCCGAAAAACTATAGTCAAATGTTTTAATAGCCTGATTTACTTCATCAAGAGAGAAAAACTTCTGGCTAATCAGTTCTGACAGGCACAGAGATAATTCTACTGGGACAATCCCTTCCAAAACATCATGTAAAATGTCAGGAGGATAACCCTTGACGACATGGAAATGTTCCAGTTTCTCTGTAAGAGGGCATACACCTTTTACACCAGTGTTCTGACAAAACTGTGGGTCTTTTAACACATCTTGAACATGCCTGTCGTGATTTATTTGGTCTCTGATCTGAAAGACACCAGAGCATGCATCATTTTGTTGGATGTCACTTTTGGATGCCATACAGAATCTGCAAAATTTCTGAACTGTAAAGCTTTCTTGAAAGCCTGCAAGAGAATGGGCTGCAAGGTTGTCGGCAACAACAAACGATACTGTTCCTTTGATACTTGCACCTAACTTTTCCACAAAAACACCGTGCTTTTCTAATGTGGCCAAATCATTAATTAGAGGCTCAAGCACTTTCCGATATCCACACTGTTTAATAGTGGTGGTGTTGCAAAGGAGACCAAGCTGAATGCAGTTGAGTGTAGATCTATACTTTGCAGGTAGATTAGCAATAGTCCAGTACACGGCGCACATTTTATGTTTTAGTTTCGAGGTTCCCAGTGGATTTGCTACCTCGAAGTCATCTACGTACAGGATAAGCGCAATGGTGAACTCATCCCCTGAAAGTAGTGTATTTTCTTTGAAATGCTCCCCATCAGCATATGAAGTAAATTCATTTGAG